TTTATAAATCATTTCTCAAATCGTTATCTTTAGTTACTTACAATTATGTAAAATTTATTTGTTAGTGATTTTACATTGTATATGAAGCTCTTTATTCACCATTTACATAGAGACTCCTCCTCCATCTCCTTACATTGCACTTCCTTGCATGAAAACACCTCTTCCATCTCCTTGTGTTACATCTCCTCTTCTATCTTCTCGTGTTGTAATATATAGTAGCTCTGCTTATTGCATAAGAAACAACAAGCCTTAACCAACAATCTGATCCAACCCTTAAATCTCACAACACAAGAATAATGCTTGGATAGCACAACATACCTAAAACACAAAGGAATGAGATATCACCTATGCATAAAAAACTCTTGCCTAAACCTTGATCAATGCATGCTCTTACTCTTCAAATGCCCATGTCATGTATCTAGATAGCACACACAAAAGAACAAAAGTTTATATATAAAGAGGTTTCCCCCAAACCATGGTCAATATATGCTCCTACTCTTTGTCGCACCCAATATTGTGGGAAAGTTGTCACTCTCAACTATATAGGAAGGAAGAGTGCAATATAAAAGATAAAAAATCCCTTGCTAGATTTTATATGACATTTGTATCACATGTTTAAGTGCAATAGAAATATAATATGCATACTGATGTAGTAGAACCCAATATTGACATGGCAAGACCCTATGCTATACTTATGCACTCCAAATCATGTTTTAGTCCCTGAATAAAATGTAGTAATAATTATCTTTATAATGTGACATGAGTGTTTACTTTATGTATACCTTTACTCTATCTTATGTTTTATTGTATATTAAGGTACCAAACTTGTCCGTTACAAATTAATTGCCATACATATAGACATTTGTGAACACAAACTCTTTTTATCTTCTTAGTGACACTATTCTTATTCTTAGAAACAACATTCTATTATCTATTAAATTTCTTACACTTTGAGATTAAAAGGTCCTTGGTTCAAACCTAGACTAAAACATACAACAGAGACTTAATTTTTTCAAGAATGTCATAAACATTTTTATTACATTCCTGTAGGAAGAATGGAGTGAGTTTAACCTTTGATGTAGTATCGAATGAGAATGAAAGTTATGATTTTATGTATTATGTTGCAATTGATTGTAAAACATGGGTATGAAATCTTCTTTATGGGCTTCATTACATTTTTATTTGTTAAGCCACTTGTTTTTTAGATTGTAAGTATTTTCTTTCTCATCAAGGTATGGTGCCATTACTACATCAATCCTATATATAAATCATTGTTGTGCTGAAGACTAAAAATAAAAGAATGTGTTGGTTTCTTTTGTTTTTCATAGATATGTTTTATTTATGTGAATGGATGTCTCAAGAAATTTCAACCTATGATCACCTAAGCTTTCCTTGATAATGATCAGCCACTCCACTTCTTAGTTGCTTCATCTTAAAAGCAAAATCTAAAAGGTCAATTGCACAACAATAATGCTGCTTGATGGGCTAGATAATAAATTAATGATCATACAATTGTAAAACACTTGAGATGGAAGATTATTGAGTAGACCAATGATAAAAAAATGTAATGAAAATTCTGATTAAAATGATGAAAGTTATTAATTTCTAGAGGAGTTTGATGGTAATAGAGATTGTTATAAACATTCTAGCATGATGAAAAATAAAAATTAATTTCAATCAGTTTATTCAAACTTATTTGGACCTCCTAAGTGGCTAAATTTTATTTTGTCCTTTTTGTTGGCAAAAATGCTCTTAGTAAAAGAATTATCATCCCAATATAATATTTTTCTTGAGTTTCTTTTTGACAAGCTAGATTTTGTCAAAAACAAAAAAATAAAGACCCATTAAGAGAAATACTTGTTAATTATTAGTTGTGTTTATTTTTGTGACTTGCAAGGTGGTCTATAATTAATTTTAGTTACTTTTTATTAGTTGTGAGATCAATTAAAAGCTATTGCATATTGGTAAGTGGTATTAGTGAGTGTCAAAGATATTACTAGTAATCTTGAAACTCAACTAGTGTTGTTGAACTTCTTAGATTACTAATTTATCACTAGCTCAAAAATATCATTCCACAAAAAACATAGGTTACAAGTTTTATGTGGTGATTAAAAGATGTGTTGTAAGGATCTATGCATGTTGGCCAAATACAAATACAAAATTTAGAGTGTGTCTCACACTTAATTTTTCTTTATTGTTATAGGTAAGGAAGCATCCTAATCAATTTAATGGAGGGGCTTAAAAATTCATATAGGGGTCAATATCTATCAAATGTAACACTTAAACATTATTTAAAGTTTTAATATTTACCACAATAGTTTTGACTTTAAACTTTTACCTCAACCTCTCCAATTGGAGAAGTTCTAGTGACAGATAATATTGAATTTTCTCTTGCAAAGGTGGTCTTAAGTCATGCATAAGCTATAATAATCATTATTAACATCATAGACAAGAAAAAAGAAAAGTAAAATTATGAACTTCAAAGGGTATGAAAAAGTTTCAAAATCTAAGTGTAAATAATTTTAAATCCAAAAATTCTAGTTTTTAGTATCTTAAAACAAGAGTTAAGCACTTAAGATCTAGAAAAGAAAATCGAAGGGAAGAGGAAAATATTAGAAAGCTTGTAAAATGGGCTTTAAGGAAGAAATATGCTCCCAATTGGATAAAAGGAGAATCTATAATTTTGAAAACTATATAGCATGTGAACTGGAAAGAAATGACTTAACAAGAGGGAAAAAATTTATCTATAAATGTTTAATGGTAGTTATTTATGAAGAAGATACAAGAGAAAACTTCTATAAAGTAGAACTTTATAGCGATGCTTGCAAGCACAAGTGGGAGAGCCTTGAGGGGATGTATAAGAAGATCAAGAACCACAATAGGAAAACATATGTTCCAAACTTCCTCTTGCTTATATATTGTTTTTGAATGTGATTGCAAATATTAAAAGTCTTAGAAGCTAAATGCTCTAAAATTGTTCCAATATTATTCTATGCTTTCACTCTTTCATTCTTTGGTTGTACACTTAGAAGTTACTTTGTGCTCTAATTTCTTTCTTCCTTGGTTATATACTTAAGAGTTTGATTTTATCCCTTCATTTAGTAGCTTAAAGCATTAAAACTTAAGTTTTGCTCCATTGCCCTTGATATACAGGAAAGTGTGCCAAAGATCAAAGATATTTTAGAAAGAGATCTTTGATTTGGATAACCTATTGAATACACCATCTTTCTTTCCACTTGTAAAGGAATGGTCAATTCTTTTTATAGCTTGTTTAGATAAATCTAGATTTCATTTATTACTGCCATATTTATTTCTATTTGAAAAGGAATGGTCAAACCTGGTTTCTATTAATTCAAATATTTACTTATTACTAATAATACATGTCTTTCAAGTCTATTAGTGCCCATTTGGAAGCATAAGACCAATATGTACCAAATGGGGTAGAATTAACTATCTATACACTTTACACTCTCATGGATTTAAAGAGGTGGAAGGTGATGAAAACACAAGAGAATGAGAAGGAAGCTTTATTGAGGCTTAAGCAGTTCACTACATCAAAGTTATTGATCTCCCTATAATAATTCATATTTTGGTTAAGATGTTAAACCTTAAATTAGGTTATGTAAGTCTACTAAACCTTCTATTCCTAACTTAAAAGCCTAGCCAGCTAAGCTGTGCCAATCTCGGGTTTGGGATCCAATGGCTAGCAGGCCTCCCCCTTATCGCTTTATATATATAGATATTACAACTTTCTTAGGTTTCTTGCTATTTATTGAAGTTTAAATTTTTGAAGTAGATTTTTGAATTTATGAAGAGGCTTGGCCTGTTACTAGTATTTAGAGTAGTAACTAGATTTTGATTAGAGTTTAGATTTTTACATTAGTTCCTTTTGCTAGCTTGGATTAACTGTGGTTGTAAACAGTGATAAGTCCTTTTTTTTTCCAGATAGCAGAAGTGTAAAAGTGAATGAGGAGATGACAAGAAATAAAATTAATATAGAAACTAATAAGTATGAAAAAGCCATATGGATGAGTTCATTATTTTTATTGACCTAGGGAAAAAGAGAATTGTGACACATGTTGCATTAGCCTCCTCGGCCTCCCTTGATTTAGGGTGTGCTGGGCAACTCTCCTTGGAGCTATACATACCTCTAGATCTTCTGGAAAAGCGCTGCTCAATCCATCCTGTGGCATTGCACACCATGATAACAAAGAAGAATGTAAATCCATTCGGCTTAGTGCCCTCCTTTAGCAGCTTGCCAATGATCTCCACCACCTTGGCTACATTGCCTTCATAGCTATAGTGTGTTCCACAAAACCATGTCCTTGGATATCACAGGGGAATCAAAGATGTGCTGAGCAATTCCACACTTGCCATAAGTATTGTTTGTGAAACTACTTCCTCTTGCAGATCCCAGCATCGAATTCCCTTCCGGTTTCCAAATCCACCAAAGTCCCACAAGCTATCAGTAACACGACTGCAAATATTGGCAGTGTTTCTTTCAGCTCCATGCATTCAAAAACTTTAAAACCATCTTGCTCTCCCTTGTCTTAGCATATCCTAGTATGTCATGATGCTCTCATCTGGATGAATACCACTCGAGCATCCAGCATGCTCTTACACTTTGCATAAGTGTCAACCAGGTGTTAGAGATTGGAGATCAAGTGGCAGCAAGTTTGAAGCCACAATGCTCCTAGCTGCCATGGAATAAAAGATGTGCTAGCTTTCTTAATGGTGGAATCACAGCTTATAAGCTCGCTTTCTTATAGTGAGCTAACATTGAAGACAGCTCTAACATTGTGAGTCTGTGGCTTCATTCCTGCTACTTGCTCAGCTCATAGCTCTAGAACAGGTTTGTGGAAAATATGGTAGAGGCTCTTGACAGGATGGAGGATTAGATGGTTTTTTCCTGCCTAGGATACAACAACCAGGTTCAAAGTGAACTGTTTAGAAATTGTCAAATCGGCATTGACATTGCTACCAGCAGTAGCCATAGCTAAATGGCAACAGCAGGTATGAGCAAGAGCCAAAGGTATGTGTTATTTTCTTCTCCCCACCAAAGCAATTTTGGTGGGCTCCAACAACAGATCCTTGAATCAATTTCTAACTATGATAGGTTGTCCAAGAGAAGTTCACCTTCAAGAGTGTAGAAAAGGTATGTAAACTTTTTTTGTACCATGGATTCGGGCTTGGGCTCAAAGTTCTTTCTTCTAGATTTTGAGAGCTATCTTTAAACATTTAAATTGGAATCAAGATGGTGAGGAGACAAATGTTAAACAATAAGCTTTGTCAACTGGCCAGAACTTCAGCTTCAAGATTTTTTTTGCAAAGTTCTTTCTTCTAGATTTTGAGAGCTATCCTTTGACGATGGTTGTTCCATTATTATCCAATCCATACATGTCATCGGAAAAACTGCATTGCGGATTGATCGTTCCCAACTAATGAATTTGCAGTTTAAGAGTTGATCAAGCAGCAAACATAGCTAAGCTCACCAAATCTCTTGAAATGGCATGAAATTTTCTAACCACCCAGCATTCGCTGGGCAACTGCTAATATATATAAATGGCGTTCTGGAAGGGAAATGGTGTCACGTTTGTTCATCGGCTTCCATACACCGCGATTAATTTCTACTCGTATGAACAGTACAAGGCGGTAAGTAACGCATCGTTTACTTTATTGTCTGAAATCCTTCTGCTTTCCTGCTCAAATGGCCTGGGGTAAAAAGCAGTGGAGATGACAACTCCGGAGCTCGATTGTTTGCTCGTTTCGTCGCCGGTGGTGGAGCTGGAATCACTGCTGCTGCGACAACGTACCCTTTGGATCTCGTTCGAACGAGACTAGCAGCACAGGTGAGTAGAGCTTGACCGTAGAGAAAGAGATGATGCGAGGGATAGTTTTTCCTTTCTAGGCAATTCCTGAGAAGCTCTTAGCTGAAGTATGGCTTTGACAGAGGGTTCTTGGGACTTATTTTGCGCCTTCGCAGGTGAAATGACCCCTGTGACTTGCAGACAACCTCAAAGCAGCACACGGGCATCTACCTTTACAAGGGGCTCTGGCCGACGCTTTTAGTACGTTCTTCGAGAGCTTATTACTGGAACGCTCAAAGGTGGATTTTTTCTTAGTTTCGAGTCCTTGGACTAGAGTGTGAGCATGTTTACTTCCAGGCCCGAGTCGTCCAGGATGGTGACGAGCTTGATCTCCGGTGGAGTAGCAGGAAGTGCTGCCTCAACAGGTAAGAGTCTTAAGATCGATTACGTTTGATCGCCATCGTTCTGTTTTCAGTGGTGTTTCCGATCGATTTGGTGAGTGAAGGATGCAACTCGAGGGCGATCGGAGATGGACACCAGGGATTGTGAGCGCGCTGAGGCACATTGTTCGCACCCAAGGCTACGCTGGGTTGTACAGGGGGATTTTGACCGAGTACCTCCCGGCCGTGGGGATTGCCTTCATGGTGTATGAAGTGATGAAGAACATTAGCGAGGGAGAAGAGGTGAATGTAAATGGTCCCCGAACAGGTGTTGGTCAGTTCCAGAGCCGCGTCCCCGATTTTATTCCAACCGTCAGATATTCTTGAATCGACGGCCTTGGTTGAATTTAGCAAATATTTAGGGTTCTTGCGATGGATGGGAGCTCGCTTGTTCCGCGGCTTGGCGACGGCAGAGATTCGATGCGCCGCACCAGCATTCGCTCCTTCGGCAGCACCGCCGCGGGCGCCCGATTAGCAGGCGGCCACGCTGGTGTCGGCGCTGAAGGTTGTGGCAGCACAAGGGATTTGCGCAAGGGCAAGGCGATCCAAGCCCAGGCGGCGGAGAGGAAACAGCTGGGGATCCATGTTGTGAATGCGCTGGTGGACATGTACGCGAAATGCGGCAGGATGGAGGATTCCCACCGCATTCTTCACCCAAACGTGACGTTCTGGAACGTTCTGATGCTGGGCTACGTCACGAGTCATGTGGCTCTGGATCTCTTCGAGAGGATGCAAGCCAGGCAGTCGGGCTGCAAGCCAAACTCCAGGAGCTTCATGGCCGCGGTGAAGGGTTGTAGCAGCCTCGCGGCAAAGGAAGACACTGTTTTTTGGTCGATGGGAAGCTCGTCAAGGAGGCTAGTCTCGAGACCAGCAGAGGCATCCATTCTCAAGCCAAGCAGATGGGACCGTCTTGCAGCGAAGACGTTTTCCTCTCGAGCTCGCTAATCGATATGTACTCCAAGTGCGGCATCATGCTCGATGCTCGATCGGTCTTCGATGAGGTGCCACGAGGGAATGCTTTGATACTGGGCTACGTAGAGAATGGAGAAAGCGAGGTCGCTCTCGAGTTCTTTGGGAAGATGGGACTGCTCGCGGACTTTCGTTGCTGCTGCCAAGGCCTGTGCGAATCTAGCAGTGAAAGAGGAGGCCACTAAAAAGATGGAAAGATGGTGAAGACGAAGAGCCTGGAGAAGGGGCTCGCTGTTCACGATGGAGCTGTGAAAAGCCACTGCTGTGGAGATATCTTCGTGGGGAGCAGCCTCGTGGACATGGTACTCAAAGTGTGGGCGTGGTCGACGCGCGGATGGTTTTCGAGAGCATGCCTCGTCGCGATGTTGTGCTCAGAACGAGCTTGATACAAGGCTTTGTGGACAACGGGGAAAGCGAGATGGCTCTCGTGTTCTTCGAAGCTATCCGGGTGCTGTCCAAACCTCGAACGTATGTTGCTGCGCTTGCCACCTGTGCGAGTTCGGCAATGCGAGAAGAAGCGGTGGATGTCGACGGGAAACTCGTGAAGAGAAAGAGCTTGGAAACTGGGGTGGCTGTCCATGGTGAAGCTTCAAACAACAGGTGCTGCGAGGATGTGTTCGTGGGGAACACACTGATCGATATGTACGCGAAGTGTGGGAAGCTAGAGGAAGCTCGCAAGGCATGGCTGGCCGAGACGTGGTTTCGTGGAACACAACGATCTAGGGATCTGCTGGAAGTGGAGACAGCAAGATGGCCTTGGAGCTGGTCTTCGGCATGGCTTGGGAGAACGATCCGGACGAGAGAATGTTTGTTGCTGCGCTCATGGCCGGCGTCCACCTTTCAGCGTCCGAACAACCTGTTCCGCGAGAAGATGGAAAGCTACTGCGTATCCAGAGTCTAGAAAAGGGGATGCAGATTCATTCTCTTGCCGCGAAGTTTGAATGCTGCGAGTTGGGAGCAGCTTAGTGGACATGTATGCCAAGTATGGAGATATGGTGAAAGCTCGAGCAGCTTTCAAAAGCATCCCTAGCCGGGACGTTGTTGGTTGGACGAGCTTGATCCAGGGATATGTAGACAACGGTGAGAGTGAGCTTGGGCTGGAACTCTTGGAGAGCATGGACTGTGCTCCAAACTCTCAGACTCTTGTAGTGAGACTTACGGCCTGTGGGAACGTTGGGTCCAGTGAAGCTGGAAGGAAAATCCAGGCTGAGCTTTACAGCGTGGGCTGGAAGACGACCATGTTGTGGGGAAGTGCATGGTAAACTTCTACGGAAGTGCGGAATTATGAGCACTTGTTTGGATCTCTGGCAGTCCGAGATATCGTCGCCTGGAATGCACTGATCACAGGATTCGGCCGGGAGAAGATGGTGTGCGATCACGTTTGTCTCGCTCATCACTGCTTGCAGCCACGGCGGCCTGGTTGAACGAGGCAGGGAGTTTTTCCAGGCAATGGACCCGGACTCTGGTATTGTTTGCGGGATTCATCACTACAGCAGCTTGGTGGATCTCTTCGGGCGTGCAAACCGACTGGAAGAGGCAGTGACAGTCCTCGAGAGCATGCCTTTGAGAGCGGACGCTGTGGTTTGGAGGAGCGTCCTCGGGGCCTGCCGCAAGTGGAAGGACGTGGAAGTGGGGAGGATCGCGTTCGAGGCACTGACGAAGATCGACGGGACAGACTGTGGTATTATGAAACGGTGTTGTGTTATTATTATGACGGTTGATACATGGTTAAATGTATGGGTTTATCGTGACGATCCGTGGCGGCGTCTGGATCGCTCACGTGGCTGTGTGCTGACGTGGTCTTGTTCACTCCCACACTCCTCCTCAAGGCCAACGTCTAAAGTCAGCCCAAGTGCCTTCGTGAAGACTTCATGTTTAACACGAGGAAGTGGTTTTGTTAGCACGTCCGCTAGCATGGAGTTTGTCGGGCAGAACTCCAGCTCGATCATGCCTCTCTGGATCTGCTCTCGTATGAAATGGAAGCGCAGCTCAATGTGTTTAGTACGAGAGTGGAACCTGGAGTTCTTGGTCAAAGCTATTGCAGACTGGTTGTCACACAATAGCTTGACCACGCCCGTGTTGATTTGTAGATCCTGGAGAAGTCCCTTTAGCCACGCTGCTTCCTTGGTTGCAGCTGCTGCAGCTATGTACTCAGCCTCGGTACTCGACATCGCTGTAATAGCCTGTCGTTTGCTGCACCAGCTTGCGACATTTCCATTTAGCAGGAAAACGTAGCCTGTGGTTGACTTCCTGTTGTCTGGATCCCCGGCCCAATCAGCATCAGAGTAACCAGCCAGCTTGTTGCCGCTCTCGCCTCTGGAGTACTTTAAAGTTAGCTGGTTAGTCCCTGCCACGTACCTCATAATACGTTTCAAAGCCTGCCAGTGTGCTGTGGAGGGACGGTCCAGGTACTTCGCCACTGTTCCCACAGCATACGCAAGGTCAGGCCGAGTGGAGATTACCAGCACTGCGCACGAAACCAAGGGAAATTAGAAAAGAATCTATTTTCGTGTACCATTGGCGTGGCGACTGCTTGAGTCCGTAGAGAGCTTTGTGAAGCTTGCAAACGAGGTGTTCTTCTCCAGGCATACCAGGAGGCTGAGCCACATACACCTCTTCATCGATGTCGCCGTTAAGGAACGCAGTACAAACGTCAAGTTGATGGAGCTCGAGATCCAATTCTGCAGCTAGGATTAGTAGCATACGAATGGTTGTGAGTTTCACCACAGGGCTGTAAGTCTCCGAGTAGTCCAGCCCATGAACTTGAGAAAATCCGCGTGCCACAAATCTCGCCTTGTAGCGCTCAATGCTTCCATCAGCGTTGTACTTTTTCTTAAACAACCACTTGGATGAGACGAGCTTTCTGCGAGCTGGAAGTTCAACCAGCGACCAAGTGTTGTTTTTCTGGAGAGAATCATACTCCTCCTGCATAGCTGCCTGCCAGTGCTCAGCTTCTGGTCCGTGTAAAGCCGCCTGGGGACCGAGAGAGGCAGGTGGAGCCGACAGAGCCCAGAAGTAGGCACGCTTTCCTATAGGCATCGCCTCCTTGGCTTTGAGAGATGGTTTCACGACACGACCCGAGCGTGTCACCACTGCTGTGCCGGCTGGAGGAGGTGGCAGCTTGGGAATGCTGGGAGGAGTGGTGGCATCTTGATATAACTCGTCGCCAACGAACAGGTCAGCCACAAGCGTGGAAAGATCTGGCTGTTCATTGGTGCTTGAGGATGCAGCCGCTGTGGCCTGTGGAGTCGTCAGAGGAGGTGTCGAAGGAAGAGTACCGTGATCAGCTCCTCCTGCCAGATCGCCTCCTTCGGGCGCTCCTTCAGCAACTCCTCCTGGCTCTGCAGCGGCTGGATTGTCTGGTGCTGGGTGGAGATGTGGAACGTCGTCCAAAATCTCAGAAAGATCCACCAGAGATGGTGGAGAAACAGGAGGGTATCTCGATGAAGATGAGCTTCATCAAACACCACATCTCGGCTCACCACCAGTTTCCTGCGCTGGCAGTTATAGAGTCGATAGGCTTTTACCTGGGTGTGATAGCCCATGAAGATGCATTTCTCGCTCTTGGGATCCAGCTTCCGCCGCTGAACATCGGGGATGTGGGCGTAGGCTATGCAACCGAACACCCTCAGGTGCCCTAATTTGGGGCGCTTCCCTGTCCATACTTGAAACGGCACCTGTCCTGTGGAACGTGTTGGCAGCCGGTTCCGGAGATACACGGCTGTGTTGAGTGCCTCTCCCCAAAACACCTTGGGCATGCCAGCGTGCTGGAGAAGGCAGCGTACACAGTCCATAAGTGTCCTGTTCAGGCGCTCGGCGACCCCATTCTGCTGCGAGGTGTGGGCTGCGGTGTACTCGTGGTGGATGCCAGCCTGAGCAAGAAATGCCAGAAACTCCTTGCTCATATACTCACCGCCGCCATCTGAACGTAGTGTCTGGATGGTACAGCCAGTGGCATTTTCTGCCCAGCTTTTGTAGACCTGGAAGTGATGGTAGACCTCTCCCTTGTGTGCCATGAGAACAGCCACCGCATAGCGTGAGTAGCCGTCAATGAACGAAACGAAGTACCGCTTGTGACTGAGAGTTGCTTCTGACACATGGCACACATCCGTGTGTACCAGCTGAAGAAATCCTGAGGCGCCATCTTCTGGACTTCTGCGTGGAAAGGGTAGTCGTGGCTGCTTCCCCAGTTGGCATGTCTCACATACTCCCAGTTGGCCGGCACCGGTGAGGGTAAAGTCATCAGCAAGCTTGTGGCTAGCAAGTAGCTGGATGTCGTGAGAATTGGCATGCCCTAGCCGAGCGTGCCAGAGCTGGAGAGAGTTGGCAGCCCAGGAGCTGGGGCGAATTGCAAGCAA